ATAAGGGGACAGTTGTATTGGCCAATCAGAGTTGTGTATTTGTGAGATAACTAGGATTTAACTAGGCAAAATGCAGTTAAGGTGGCTCGATACAGTTTTCAAAAAATTCCATGGTTCATCACGTTGACACGTTCAAACAACGCATTTTTACGATTTATTCGAGAGATGTTGGGGGTTTTAAATAATTATCTTGATGTTTCTACTTTTGAATCATATCAGTTTTAGTAACAAATTGTCCCTTGCTATGGCGGCGACATACGTGTACAAAATTCACTCCAAAATGACCAATTGCTGCGATTGTTGGAAAAGAAGCACGGTGACCCCCAATTTTTTTTCGTGCATTATTTTACTTGGAAGAAAAACTAACAATTAGCAAAATATAAAAAAAATTAGTTAGAGGGACGCTACTCAAAGATTTTCAGAACTCATCTTAGCAATAATTAGTTTTAAATTTTCATAGGTAAATATAGATTTCTTAATTAGTTATTTTCATTCTTTGTGTAAATATTTCTGAAAAGCCATTATGGAGAAATGTATCATTATTATATATTATATTATTATTATATATCTCGTCATCGCTGAGTGATCTATTTAATAAGAGCTTACATACAGGAAGAATACCAGCGGAATGGAAGATATCAAATGTAACACCTATTCCTAAAAGTGGTCAAAAGCATGAAGTCTCAAATTATCGGCCAATCTCTCTGCTTTCCATTGTATCGAAAGTCTTAGAGCGTTGTATCTACGATCAACTAATTAACCATCTATCCTGCCAACTGCATAATCTCCAGTTTGGTTTTCTCAAGGGAAAGTCTACAACATCACAGTTACTCCAAGTTCTTCATGAGATTGGCAAATCGCTAGATAAAAGAGTTCAAACAGACATTCTATACCTAGACTTTGCTAAAGCATTCGACAGAGTCGATCATAAACTACTCATCAAGAAATTACAAAGCGTTGGGGTTGGTGGTAACTTACTGGCCTGGTTTGAAAACTATCTCACTGACCGCTATCAGCAAGTCACACTTCTACGCAAAACATCACAACCAATACCAGTGCTGTCAGGTGTTCCTCAGGGTTCAATTCTTGGTCCATTATTATTCCTTGTTTATGTGAACGATCTACCACAAAAGGCGACTTCATCGTCGGTAGCGCTATTTGCTGATGATACCAAGTGTTATCGTGCAATACAAACAACAGAGGACGTTAACAATCTTCAAAGTGATCTCGACGAAATCAACCCGTGGTGCCAGACGTGGCGTATGAGCCTCAACCAGTCTAAGTGCGGTGTTCTCACTGCGACAAGAAATCGAAAGCTAGTTCCATCAAGCTACAACCTGACAAATCACGATCCTTCAATCACATCAATGATCAAAAATCGAACAGTGCAAAAAGACCTCTGGGTTCTTATAACCTCAGATCTCAAATGGAACCACCAAGTATCAGCTGTATGTATGAAAGCTAACAGAATGCTGGGGTTTGTAAGAAGATCTTCTAACAACCTGAGTGATCCTCGTATCCGCTGCACACTATATAAGACCTTGGTACGAAGTCAATTTGCATACAGCTCGCAAGTCTGGTCACAACAGTCTGTTTCTCATATCCTTGAAATGGAAAAGGTTCAACGACGTGCAACAAGAGTCATCTTGTCGTTGCCGTTTGGATCCAAAACAAGTTACAAAAACCGGCTGCTAAAAACAGGGCTACTCCCTTTGAGCTACTGGCATGAGTACCTGGACTTAATTCACTTCTTTAAAGAAATGAGACACAGTCAAAACATAAAAGTTAAATTAAGTAATCGTGTCACAAGGAGCGAGGCATTGAATAGCGTTAGTATAAACATACCAAGAGTAAACACCTTAACATATCAAAATAGCTATTACAACAGAACTCCTAGAATCTTCAACAGTCTACCGCCACATATACGTAGATCAGATGTTACCATTGGACAATTTAAGTCATACTTATTGGATTATTATAATAAGATGACTGAACTGGTATATAACATTGATGTTCCGCAATCTTTTAAAACTATCTGTGTTAAATGTCATTCATGTCGTCCGTTATGTAAACTTGTTGATAAAATGTGCTGTAGAGGTTGATTCGCTGACCTCAGAATATTTTTAATGAGCTTCTCAGCTTTCACTGTTCAAATTGGTAATATTCTTGAAACATATTACTATATTAGGAAACTAATGCAATTTGTTCAATGTCTGATTGTTTCTATGAGGGCAGCGAAATAACCATTATCTTGTAAATGTTGTTAGTGCATGTATAATGTAATTTTAGGTACCCTATTAATGGAGCAATAAGCTCTGTAGAGATCACTGGTCATAATTGGCAAAGCATGTAAATAAATAAATAAACAATGTCACTGTCAACCATTGACTTTATCATTTAAATATTATCAACCTTTTCTTATCGCAATTTGAATTTATTATGAGCCAAATATGCGTATCTGGGCCAATCAGAATTTTCTGTTACACCGTAAACAATCCTGTCCACTTTCCCATCCGAGTTTCAACATCCGAGTTTCCCTCTAAAGTAATCAAAATATATTTTCCATATTTATGAAAATATAGATAAATAAATTTCATCAAAATTTTGTGAAAAGATAGTTATGCACGTTTGAAAATACAAATTTTTGTCTCGACAAGTCAAGAGCTTAGTACTTCACACTGGCGCATGTGCATAACGTAGAAGACCGTCCATTGCGAGAGGTCCATTGCATAAAGCCCCTGTTACACGACCAAATTTTCTTTGACAAATTTCATGTGCCAAATATATTTTGGCCGTGTAAATCAGAAATATTCGACGAATATGTTTTGACAAATGCGTTTGTCCGAAAGCTGGCTTGTTAGCTTTTGCAGCAAAGAAAATGTGACAGTAAAAGAAAATGTAACGGCAAAAATTTGATCGTCTAAATGAACGTCAAAAAAATTTGGCGAAAATTTACAAACAAAATGGCAGCAGGTCAAGGAGCCAGCCGTCCACATATCGGATGCAGCGATTTATTTGCTTCTTGAAGCTTCTTTTTAGCTTTTCGCTTTGTGTTTTTATCCCCAAGCGGGCGCGGAGCGCCTGCGAGGGTACTAATTCCGCTCGGAGATTAGGAATTACACCCGGAACCCGGTAGAACATAGGCGAATCCAAAGTTGTCCAAATTCTATGTCATGGACGGTCGACGTTGGGTGGTTTTGTTAGTTATGCGCATGCGCAAGTAACGTCTGGTAATCAACGAACGTTCTGATTGGCTAAGACAGAAAATTTGTATTTCAATGAGAACGTCAGCAATTTAACTGTCATTTCGTAAACATTTTTGTAAAAGCGTTTCATAAACTTTGTGCAACGAAAGTAAAACGAGAAGAAACAAGATATATGAAGCATGGCAGATAGCAAAGATGAACGTGGATACAGTCAAAACAAAGCCGTGTAAGAGAAATAATTCATAACTTGGAAGCTTATAAGTGTTTGCAAAGACAAAGGGTACGTGTTTACTTTGTTTATTTCGTATTTGTTTCGCGGTAAGAATGAGCCGTATTTGTATACTTTTCAGCTTTATATGCCGTTTATTTGTTAAATTTTTAGCTTTTTATGCAAACGCATAAACTTGTGAAAGGCTATTACACCTTTGCTTTAACTTCAAAAAGTGTTTTTTAAAGTGTAATTTGAATTTTGGTATCAAACTGAAATACACACTATATTTATATAAAACTTTTAGCCGCCGGCGTCGACTGCAAAATACAGAATAAAATAACATTTGAAGTTTTTCTTTGTCTGTGAAGATTTTGTACTGTTTTAATCGTTTGAAACGGGCAATGTTTACACTAGCTTTATGATTATTTTTGTATTGAATGATGGAAACATTAGCTATAATATACTCGGTAAAATATAATAAGACTGATTTGAGTTTTGTGTCATTTCATAATATCAGTTTAGGTCAGGTTAACTCAGGAAATTGTGTACTTGGTTTGAAATAGCGAGGGGTTGCTGCATGCATGTATTTCTAGTTTACAAATTAAAGTATCAAATATTGTGCAATATATGCGCGGAATATAATGCGCCTATTTTTTTTTGTTTACGCTGACTAGCGGATATGGAGGTGACGGAACTCAGCAACTGGGCAAACAAAATATTCCATTTGTTTACCTGGTTAAAATATATGGCACATGAGATTTGTCACAGGAAATTTGGTCGTGTAAAAGAAGCTTAATGGCGGACAACTTCGATTTCCCATTTTTACATCGTGGATGTAAATATCCGAGCGGAATTAGTATTCTCGCACGGTGCTCCGCACCGGCTCGGGGATTATCTAAAAATAAAATCACTATAGTCATGATATATAACGCATAATTGTTGCATGTCAAAAGTTTCATTGTTTTGAGACAGACTGCATGTAAATGAACGCTATATATCGCCAGCATATGCGTGAGAATCTTTTAAACAGCATGGTAATGGAGAAAGCCCCGTAATCATTTGCGTTTCAGTATGCATTCCAGTACATCAGTGCTCCCTGATTTCACAAGTTCTCACAAATACTGTCGAACTAGCGTACGAAAAGTCTTTAAGTGTCAAGTTATCGTGTATTTCCTTTGACTTCGGCATATCGGCAACGTTCAGCACTCATGCAGACTTCGCTAATACTAAACACAATATATTAAAATTTCGAATCACACTCCTTTCAATAAACAATTGAAAATGAATTTATAATTAATTTAATAGCTTCTATATCTATATATTTTTATCTAATATTTTGTTGATTTGTTTTAAATCACTTGGAACTGCATGAACATTCAAAAAGTGTTTTAATTTCTTCTTTACAGTTATATAATAGCTTATATAGCTTATATACAGTGAGTATATACAACAGTAAATACGGAGACCAACTGGTTGCTCATGCAGCGCTGTGTGTTTTTAAAAACAGCAGGATACTGAGGCCCGCTTGTATAGCGTCATCTTATTTTGTATTTTCTTGCATTCCGGTGACATTGAAGTGAAAAATGCCGTCAGTTCCATCATATACTTTGCTCCAGCCCGAACTGACTAGGAAGCCTTCGAAGGCTCGGTTGATTTTAGCGATATTCTTTCTGGTGTTACTCGTTTTGTTGGTTGTATTTATTTCGTTGTACGTTGTGGCGAAAAATAAGACGACCAGCGAGGGCCATTCGAATGGCACACCAACTATATGGCCAACTGCGTCGACGAAGACTTGTAATACCATTGGATGTGTCGTCAGTGCTGCAGGTGATCAATAATTATTTCCCCACAAATATTGAGCTTCAGGATATATTTTTTCCACCGGCAGATTATGTAGTCCGCGGGCGAAGTACTAAGTTTCATTCTGACGAGAATAATAATACGTAAATAAGTTCAACTTCATTGCTTGCACTTCAAAATGAAACATGCAATGCCTAGTAACAGAACCATTTCTCTGAAGTGGTATTCTGAACTTAAAGTTGTCTAAACAGTCACAAAAGTACCAAAGGTTTAGAAAACATTAACCTTCATATTAACTGAAGAAAAATGTAGATTTTATCAAAGCGTATATTGTATTTGAAAGCCGCATACCACTTGAAGTGATCCTATTGTGATGATTCGAATAGCCAAATACTGATTTATAATTATTAAGAAAAGATATTTTTCTATGTCGCGTAATATATATGCTCAAAACCTCTGTTTATATTTTCATGCAACAGCACTAAAATTTTTAACACTAAAAATATTTTGCAAACCTGAAAAGTATCTACAAAATATGTTTACTGTATAATCTCAAAAAATTGTGAAAATGAAAAGATTTCACGGGATATAGGCCGAGAAGAAAATGACACTTGAATCGAAGCTACTTTTGTATTCATCTCAGTGAAAATGGGGTTGATATTTATAACATTGTCGATAGCCGCATTATATTTTGAGATAACTCTTGTCGTTTGGGGTTTTGCATTCGCCAAATACAGTTCAAAACTTAGTTCACAACAAAATCTAAAGAATAGAGGTAAGATAAATTAATTTTGAGCGGTACGCCAAAAAGAGTTTATGTTTTAAACGTTTTCCCACCAAAATACAAGAAATAATAAAAATCTCCTCTTATACGTGTAATTAAATTCATGTAAAAAAAACTATGCTTAAAATACTATCGCTTCAATTTAACGCCCGTCATTCGATGGCTTGTCCCTAAATGTCGGCAAATTCAAGCTATTGAAAATTCATGAAGAGATCGAATATATTTTACAGCTGCTTCTTTGCTACAATTATCCCAAAAATTTTGCTATTTTTGTAATTGACTCCTTTTATCCACTATTTTCCCATATTACCACTTATCTGTGTATATACGATATACGCTGGATATAGACAGATTAATAGATCAGAGTTTAATCGGTAATTCGAAATATAACATTTTCTGGACAGACTTCTTGTTGCTCATATACAGTGGCGTATAGCCAGCCCGGCAATTTAGTCATGCTATGCTAATATTTTGGTGTTCATCGACTGTGAAAACAATGAATTTCTAAAGAAATGAATAACGATAATAACATAAAATTTGCATAGCATGAATCGTCAGGCTGGCTACGCCACTGCTCATATATGGAGAAAGGTCCAATACTTCGCAAGTATTTCTCTGCAAGTAGAAATGTACCATAATGCTATCCACCAGCGTTCAGTAATTTTGTGTTTAGTTCTTTGCGATAACTCTGATGGACGATTAAAAATTTGAATTGTTTACTTTGTGTTAGCAAACGAGCAGCACTCATTATCAGAAAATATAAGATTTGTAGGTTTTTAAACTTTTTAAAAGTCTTGCATAGTCCCACACTAAACAAAAAAATCGTCAGGGGAATGACCGCCGCTACTCCAAATGTACGATAGGAAATATAAACTAAGGGAGTAGCAAACTGAAATAGAATAGGGAAACCATGGGAGTGATAAACTTCCAATTTTTCCAGCTTGTCGCTGCTCATTTTTAAGATAGCTGTTACTTTTCAAAAGTCATTTGTTGCTTGTCTGTACTATGTACGTAATCGTCTGTTACTCGTGCGCTGTCGTATGTACTCGTCTGTTACTCGTCTGCAGTAGTCTATTACTCGCCGGTGCTGGTCTGTTATCCGTCTGCAGTTTTAGAATAGATCGTTTGCATCTATCAAAAAAAGAAAATCGCGCACTAATTCCCAGAAAAAAAGTGTAAACGGCCTTAAGTTGCAAGACCCTATATCATTACATTTTGCTAACGTCTAATTCAATTTGTCTTTCAGACATTCTCAACAAACTTGATCAATCCGCTGATCCATGCGAGCATTTTTATCAGTACAGTTGTGGAGGATTCGTAAAGAAGAGTTACATCCCTGATGGCGAATCATACATTGATTCGATCACTGCATCAAATGATTTCATTCAATACACCTTGAGGGATCTCTTTCAAAACAAACAATTGCAGTCAAATTATTCTGTGGTATCAAGTATTTGTACCAACTATTCTGTGGTCAACTATTTGTACATGATTAGCATGATTTGATAACATATTCGGATCCTAATTTTAATCTTTGCTTCTAGGATCCAAGTTCAGCCGTCTATAAAGCATTCGTATTCTACAAGTCTTGTATGGACGTGGAGCGTCTTGAAATTGCCGGGGATTATCCAATTCGTCAAGTGATTGAAAAATATGGCTCTTGCAGCATAACCAACAACAAATGGTCTGAAGATACTTGGGTGTTGGAGAAAATACTAGCGAGAGTACTTGCTGATACAGGAGTACCAGTCTTTCTTGATGTAGATATAAAGCAATCGTTCTTAAACACGTCGGAAATCTATGTTTCGGTAATTGAATTGAAGTAGGAAATCACGTCGCGAGATTTTATGGGGAATTTTTTGGGTTTCTGTGACAAGAAGTTTAGGATTTTCGGCAGCGATACTCTCCCTTCCCTAGGGTGCCGTGATATGGTTTTGGAAGGCATTTTCTCTTTAAACTTTAAAAAGATGAAAGTTAGATAACTGCCATTCAATGTGTATAGCAGCATTAAATGATTTTCAGCGCATAGCAACTTGTTGCATTCAACACCTGCATGGTTGTAGTTTTTTTTGGAAAGTAAAGACGGATTCTGGTGGCACACATACACCTTTAAGAAAAAAGTCTTTCTATACAAAGCATGTTTCTGATTCGCCGACTAGCCGAATTAGCTAATTAAAAACACGATTTATTGCCATATTATATCATGACGCAGAACTTTCATAAAAGGAATCTATCATTTGCCTTTCAATCACCTATATTTTCGATCAACAAGATTCAAAGGCTTCTCCATTTAAGTTCATTCGAAAGGGTAGCATCCAATCCTCGATACCCCAGAGACCAAACTGTCACCGCTTTCCCTAAGTTCAAAAAAGGGCGTACTATTTCTCTCAAATCCTATTAATTTTTATGTATTTCGTAGATAGGCGGGGGACATTCTGGTTATGACAATAAACAACTGGAAAGAGAAAAATGGGATTCAAGAAAACTTGAGTTAAAGCTAAACAAAGAAAATGTAAGTACAGTGGGTTACTAGAACGATAATTTTTTATCCATAACCCTTGAAGCTCGTTGTACTCAACAAAACGTCTAGGTTAATTCGAAGTATCACGAAAAGACTGTCAATTCACCCAAAACGTTACACAAAGAGATGTCACGAATCCGCCGCTAATCACCAAGCAAAAAACCGCATGTAACCCTAATAACTCTCCCTCTATATTTCCGTAATAGACTTTTCAATACACCTATTCTGTATATGTTGATGCAGGGTATTCCCACGAATGACGTCGATGATTACAAAAAGCTTATGTCCACCATATTCAAACTGTTAGGAACAAATTCTCTCATTGATTATGAAGTAAATCGTCTTGTTAATTTGGAAGACAGTTTTTTAAAGGTATGCATTTTGCATTGCACATATCACTCAAAGGCTAAAAACTATTGCATGCATGCATAATGCAGCTTCCTCATCTTCTACCTGAGCACTTTGTTGAACATACAGAGGGGCAAAAAAGGAAGCCAAGAACAGTAAAATTAAATCTTGTGAGCCTGTAGTCGAACGCACAATAGAGCGCAATTGAAACGAAGCCTGTTATATTATAGGACAGTTGTTTAAATTAAATTATACATTTGCAGGTTCGGGAAACTTTAGATCTATCTGACGTAGATGCGATTAAAAATAAAATCACATTTATGACACTAGAAGAGCTGAATAAACTGACATCGCTCAAGGTACAGCTCAGATTGCTTTGCTATAACCTATTTCTATTAGTTACTTAATATTAGTACCGGCAACCGGTCTATACCCATTTCATATACCCATGCAGTACAATACTATTCACGGAATATTGCTTATGTATTAATGTACTTACGCTTTTTCATAACTTTGGGTGTGTTGAGTAAATTAGCTTGTAAGTGCACCACCTAAGAAAATTACTTACGCGGTGTACCTAGAAGCTAATTTACTTATTGATGTCACCATGCAAACATACATCACCTATCCAATCCATACCATATTGAAAGTAACTTTGGTTATAATATACTCAAATACTATAATGTAACTGTAAATAATTGTAATCATACCATACAATGCGATACCAAACCGACACTCATAACATACCCATAATACGAAAGCAAGATCTACATTCCAAGTTCATGCAATTATCTCTTCCGTACCCATTCAATTTAGGAGTGAGACTCAAGACATAAGCCTCAAATATTTCTTTTTCTGACGAAAAGACATTATGGCTTTTGACACATAATCAAATCTTACTGAAAGAATATCTAGCTTCCATTGGACACAATTACGAAACTGGACGCTATTAGTAAATTTTAATGCATAAAATTCAGTTCGAATTTCGTTGCTCGCTGTGTTTTGGTTTTTAAAATGATTGTCATTGTCAAATTGATATCCATCATAAAATAAACGCTCACTTGTTCGTTTTGCGACCCCTCTCATCTCGTGCAATAAAATCATTCACACTCGCGAAACCTTGACCTAATATATATATTATATACATTAACACATCACGCCACCCCACACCTAAATATTATACCATAGGCATTTAATATGTGTTTAATATCGGAACTTAAAGCCATTACAAGAAATTTGCGACATGGTGATTTGCGTATAATTATACTAATTTGCATTTAACTTTCAACAATAATGGCCTTTAACTTTTACTCTAAAATACATATAGCAAACGTACAACACCTATATAATATTGCCGGTTCCCTGGATGTTTCCCACTGTTTCCCGACCTCTAGAACAGCCGTTTTACAACACTTTGATGATCGAATTACTTACCTTGGGTGTTTCTATGTTCTACGTGACTGTGTTCAAATGTGTATATACGCTTCGTATTGTTGAACTGGTTTATGAGATTGATAATATTCTTTAATACAGAAAAAATCCGGATCGTACAGGAAAATTTATATCAGGAATACGAAAGGCAATATCTTTAACTACAAAATTACACGTCAATTCATCAACAATCCGAATCGAAATGTTCGTATGAATGTGAGCAATTTATAAGTTCGTTGAGAGAACATGGCCAGAATTTTGAGCAATATATTTTTAAATTTGGCAAACTGCAGAAATACGAATACCCAAGGTAAAAGATTCGGTTACCAAAATGTTTCTAAACTGCTGCATGCTCTATCCACCTAGAGGCCGGCAAACAGTGCTCCAAGTCTGTAGTTCTGACGTTACGACGTTTTATATTTTCACTCAATACACTTTATAGTAAAACTCAAATTAAATGCAAATTAGCGCCAAGCGACAGCCATTTTGTCACCAATTTCTGGTAATGAATATCTTGCATTACTATAACACCTATCTTTTTAGTTTAATTGGAAAGTGTATCTTGAGGAGATATTTAAGGGCACAAAAAAATCAATTGCATCAGACCAGAAACTCATGATAATCATGCCAAACAATATCAAAAGCATCGTTAACTGGCTTGCAGACAAACCCAAGAGGTAAGAGTTACCTTAATAATAGCAAAGATGTTTTTATTGACAACCACGTTAGCTAACTTTTGTTTATACCACGTTTTGACGTGTTTTCTTTTTGTGTATCTACATGTAAACATACATGTGTAAATTAGAATGCGCATAAATGTATGCCAGAAATAAACTAATTTTTTAAGTGCATCGGGGGAATACGGGCCTATCCCTTGCCCAATTAGCCAGCCAGCCCGCCCCTAAAAAGCATATATGTACACATTTCTCTGCTTTTAGTTTGCTTGCTAACGAGGTAATATGGAGTGTTGTCAGAACCTTTATCGATAATCTACCAAAGGCATTTAGAAAAGCCCGACAGGAATATTATTTGACTTACGGACTACAGACAACTCCTAGATGGAAGGCGTGTAATGCTTTAGCAGACAAATATTTCACGCATGCTACCACTTTGCTGTTTGTTAACAAACATGTGAAAGACGACACTTTAAAAAAGGTTAGTTAATGGGTAGCACATGCCTATCTGGCCTCCATTTTCTTAGCAGCTCCGTCGTATTATATTGTATTCTCCTATTATATTAAAATATTTATTTATGAGGAAAGTGTTACTACAATGTTATTTTTAAAGCAACCTCAATATGGTGTTAAATTCATTTTAAAACAATACCAATTTGCTGAAGGTGAATACCGCTGGTAAATCTATACTTTATTCGTCTCGGTTCTTATTTAGCGATAATCATCTCGTTCGCGAATTATGTTAATTAATTCCACAAAATTATTAAGGCAAGTCGGCAATACTCCTTGATGCATTTCACCGCAGGCGAACGTGATGCAAATTTTGAATTTGAACATAATATATTTTAGGGAAATTATTCATCAATAATGTATCAAAGCTCGTGTTGAAGATAAATCAATTTTTCTTATGCGTCCGTATGTGAGATTTTCATGCTGCCAAACACCAAATTCGCTTTGCTGCCACTGAGATATGCACTGAATTTCAAATATGACTTTTCGTCCAGTGGCATGTTGGACGCTCTAACTAAGCGCTTTTGTAAACCAAATACACTTCCTGATAGGTGGCAGATATGTTTTCTGAGATCAAAGCTGAGTTTGTTGATGGTCTTAAAGAACAAAAGTGGATGGATAAACCCACCCGCGCTCAGGCCCGTCTTAAGGTATGCGAGAGAAGAGATAAATCTACAATAATATATTATTTATAATCTAGAGAAATCGTATAAAACTCACATACATTTCGGGTTGTTCTATTGTAGTCCGTCCCAAAATACACCATTCGTCCAAGCGGAAAACGAATTCTTATAATAAATATGGGAGCCCAACATAATGTATAACATTTAAAAATGCCATCAGCACAATTAAGAGCTAGTTAAAAATAATTTATTTGTTGTAACGTTTTGTCTTTAACTCAAGACATCTTCAGACCAAATGATATAAAAGTACAATCCAAGAGAGATGATTGTACTACATTGGCAGAATATTTAAAATTCTCAACTTCTACATTGCACATTTCAGGTGTTAGCCGTTCTGCACACCCCGCTTTTTCGGCTATACTTCTAACCACTGCGAAGAGCACTATACACTTTTTCATAGTGAATTTACGTGTCTTTTTTCTGTAGCTAAATAAAATGAAGGATTGGATTGGCTTTCCATCAATTGTTAAGAATGCAACAGAACTGAACAATTATTACAACAGGGTGAGTTTTTTAACCAAAATATCACAAGAGTGCTTTTATAGTCTATCTACATACGTTTAAAACGTTAAAACGTTGACTACATAAATTATGTAGGAAAATCTCAAAATTTTACAAAATTAATTAAGCTGAAATACCCAAAGACGTGACTGCATGGTTGCCTAAATCTCTGTTTTTATCCTGCATGTTTGCATGCATGGCCGCTTGTTTAAAAAGTAGTATATGAACACGGTCGAAATTAGATGCGGTGCGTATTCAAATATTTTTTCTGCCCGTCGGATTTCTCTTGTACGTATATATGCACTTTTTCAAACAAAAACCGTCGGGCAGAATTGAATATTTAACAGTTATTCTTCGAGTCGTATAAGCGCTGCAGCCGAGAGCGGCGGATAAAAACAAATTTCAAATTTATTTGTAATTTGAACAATAGTGAATACTGTATGTGAATACAACTTTTTACCTAAGCCGGCTGCTTTCCACTTATATGCGTTTTTCAAACGCTGCACGTACACGCGCGTAAAAGTCTTAATCTTTATGTCATCTTTGAAAAAGCTACGTGAATAAATCGAAAGAACTTAGTTTTAGAGCGTAATTTTAGTAGTATGCATTTGTTGACCCATATTTTAAATGATAAAAAATAAAAAAATATATTTCCTACGCATAAAAATCGCGTATAAGTGGAACTGTGGAAAGCAGTCCTAATTCTGATTAGTAAAATTACAAAGGTGATTATTGAAAATTATGGCCTGTGATTGGTCGAGCGACCTCGGATTATTATGCGCGATAATCACCTAAGCGGTTTTTCAAAATGGTCGCAAAACGGCTTGTGTCAAAGTGAGAGATGAAGAATTACGTCAATTTTTGAGACGAAAATACTGTGTCTAGAAGAACAAAAAGGTGAAAAATCAGGCATAAAATTATTTTCAAAATAAAAACTAAAAACACTTTTCAACTTTATTATGCGAAAACATTGCTTTACTTCAATCGCCGTAAAACTGTTGAGATTTTTTTTCAAGAAATCACATTTGTAATTATACTAAATTGTTAATTATTGTATTCTCAGGTTGAAGTCAGTGAATTATTACTCTTACAAAATGCGTTGAATTCCATCAGAGATATGGTTATAAAGAAGATTGACAGATTGGGCAAACCCCCGGATGACAGCAGGTATTGTATACAGGAGAACAATGTACATCGTTTCGGGAAAGTTTGAATAGAGATAAACAAGGATGGAGTTCTGCTTGCGATTTACAACGCGCGAGCTGAATGGCCGCTTGCAAAGAAGTACGTACGAGACAAAAGGAATAACGTACGTGCCTAAAGTAATAGTACGTGCCCATGAAAAAAAGAGGAAAATGAATAATGCAAATTTTTGGCATTTCTCTTTTCTTCAGGTTTTCGATGTCACCTCTTTCTGTCAATGCATATTATTCGTTTCAAGCAAACGGAATAAGTAAGCCTTCCAATCACTTTTCATTAAATCATTTCCAACCAATATAGATCTAGTTTGTCTTTTACACCTATATATAATTATATAAAATACCGTTTTAAACCGCCCTCATTGGTCGAAAGCCTCATTGGTCGTTGGTGTCGGAAAGAGATTTTGAATTTCAGAGAAAATTTCAGTGGAATGTTTAATGCTGAAATCTTATTTACGAAATTCCTTGGACACTCTCATGATCCTAAAATAAGCATTGCTTATACGATGTTTACTTACATGAGTACCTCAAAGTGTTTATATATATATATATATATATATATATATATATATATATATATATATATATATATATATATATATATATATATATATATATTTAATTATGCTTCGTTCAACCGGATGCAAAATTTATTGTGAAAAACACTTTCTTACGAAATTTCAAATCTCCTTTATTTGACTTTTTTTGCAGCAATTTTAGCGGGAATATTACAGCCACCTTTCTACAAAGATGCAACGCTAAAGTAATGACTTTATATTTTAAATTATTAAAGTAATGACTATATATTTTCTCCTGCGTTGCCGAGATGAAAATAATAATTTCGATTTCAATTCCGCATTTGCTGTTGTTAATTTTTAGGGCGTTAAGTTATGGCTCCCTTGGGATGTTTGTAGGTCATGAAATTACACACGCCTTTGACAAGCAAGGTGGGGAAGTTTTTAGTATCATACAAAGTTTTATAGATGTCATAGAATCGTTCCTTTCATTTGTCATGTTCGTAGCTACTGTTAATTTAATGGTCTTCTCTGCAAGAGGCAGACGTAATATCATGCACTAAAGCATAAAACTTATATAATTAACACTTATATTTAAAGCGATTCTTTTGTGGACTCGATCAAGACCGATCGACGGTGGAGGGTCCTCAAAACATAATGTTTTCTGAGGTCTCGGTAAATAAGTTTTAATTTTATATAGAAAGTTTCGAAGTTCATCTGTTCCAGAAACAAATTGGTTAAAACCCTGTAACGTGAAAGACGGGAAATCCGAATATTTTCCCCCAAATCTTGTTCGTCAGGTTTGAACAAGTTTGACAGGGGGTTAATACTTTAACCTCAGGGGGCTAATAAAAACCGAAGTCGTGATGCCATGTCGCATCACGCAACATATGACCTTTGAACTTCAGCCGAATTCTTTTTAAAATGAAAAGTTTTTCTGTCTACGTTTTTGTCGCGTATTTTCACCCGTTTTTTCCTTTGAAACTTGCCATATAATAAAACAGTTATTGACTGATCTCCTTCGGGTCCACAAAACATGATGTTTCCCTCGGGATCAGTCAATAAGTCTTAATTATTATATACTATATACTTCTCAAAAAAAAACCAAACAACAAGGTCAACAGCGAAATATGCGCCGCACGTGATTAAAGTTTTATTTGCCATGGGAAATAACGCGTTCTTTCTCCCTGCATGGGGTCGCGCAGGTGACATCAAATATCATCACTCTCGCGTGATTCGCTCTCAACCAATGGAAAGCCACGAACACCAAACTTTGAAAGGTGGTATATAATAACGTTATTTATTCACTAGTTTATTCTCGCTAGGAAGTGAATACGATGAAAATGGAAACATTCGGCAGTGGTGGACTAAGGCATCACACGGCAATTTTGTGAAACGATCAGAATGTTTGATTAAACAGTACAACAATGTTACAATATCTGGTTTTCAGGTTTGTACAGAGTAACGGTATTTTTTAGTTTTTGAACCGGTCCAACTGTATCATATCGCGATTTGGTAAAAAATACTTTAGACATATATTTGGGGGTTGGTAGTTGAATTTTCATTGCATTTTAGACAAAGACATGCAAGTCATCTTAAATTTGTCTCATTTATTACGACTTAAATGGGCAGACTAAATTCAGCACAATAAAAAAGTGTCGTGAAATAATGTAACATTTCTATCAAATATTGCTTTTAACATTCATTCCAGTTAAATATATATATTTATCAAAAAAAAAGAAGAAAATTTTTAAAAGAAACTCTTTTTAGTTTTGATATCCTAGTTAACTCAGAAATACACGACTCTGATTGGCCAATTCTGTCCTTAACACCAGTTAAAAGTTAAGAAGTCTTTTATACAACTGGCCCCAGATACCAAATCAAATGTGGAATGACTTTAGCTATTATTTAATATCCTTCATACCATAATGTGTCCTTAGGTTAATGGCACTAAAACATTATCCGAAAATATTGCTGACAACGGAGGATTGAAATATGCCTACAGAGTAAGTGTTTTTCAGCATGTTGAATATAACGCCGTTGTGTAATCAAACTGGCGAATGAAGTAAAAATATATATTTTCTTTTAAATCTTGTTCCATTTTCATTGTAAACGTCTATAAAATTATTGTGCCAAAAGGCTTATCAAAAATATTGTTTCTTAAGGCCTATCAAAAATGGCGAAGAACACATGGTGATGAAGACAGGCTACCAGCTCTCTCTTTGGATAATAACCAACTTTTTTTCGTTAGCTTTGCCCAGGTACGAAAATAAAATAAAATAAATAAAGTAACATAGGCATTGCATGTTTATCCGAATCCGTTGTTTTTGGGGTCAGTAGAGCTTCAGTTCACTGAGCGTTGCTTGCTACATCCCACAAGTTGAATCGATCTGCGTTACAGTTAAATATTTTTCATAGAGATAGTGACATGCAGCATGTAGTTTAAAAATACACCCTTGTAAGTTGTTTAGTCTTGAACGTAATGGTCAAAAACATTATTCATTTATAAAGAAATTATTTTCCAGGCAATGAACACCAAAATATTAGCATAGCTGGACTAATATCTGGGATACCTTAATAAGGCTGGCTACGCCACCTTAATTTTCGTTGAAATTAGTCAACCAGTGAGCATAAACAACCGTTTGGTAATGCCAAGAATATTTTTGCCTATTAGATTACGATTAAATACTTTGCCTCAAAAATGATTAAGCCTGGTTCTCATATATCGCCATTCATCGGCGATGTCTATTGTCGGTGGTTATTAATGCATAAGATGCTTTGTCTATGGAAAAAATTATTTACTTCATTGGCCAATGACAATGGATCGTAAAACATCGCCAATAAATTACGACATAATATGAGAACCAGACTTAATAATTACAAAACCGAAAACTTGTTACTCCAATAGACGTGGTGTGCCAAGTACACAAAGAAAGCGGTCAAAATTTTGATAAGTATTGATGACCATTCACCGGATGCAGTGAGGTAAGGTTTGTAAGTAGACATGCAAGAGTTTTTTTTATTCTCGCCTTGTAATTTGCTCAATGTTTCTCAACCTTCAGCCCGTGAAATTTAATATACAATCAAACTGACCAATTACTTAAGTTAATATAGCCGCACTTCACCATAGAATAGGCAGTCAGATGCATTAAGCCTGTGCTCCGCCATCGATCTTTCCAGCAATTTTTCGGCCAATTATATAACCAAGCTGTCCTGGGTGTCTGCTTCAGAGGGCAATTGATGAAGGCCGGGGTTAACGGACCGAAAGCTCCGCTTAAAACGAATTCATGTGTTGTTTTCTGAAAATTGATGATTTTACTCTGTTTCAAGAGCTACTTTAACTAATTTATAGGCAATATAAGTAAACAGTAGACATTAGGTTTACTTTAACTAATTTATTTATCTTCTATGTTCAGAGTGCGTGTTCCAATCCACAACTTTCCCGAATTCAGTACAGCATTTGGATGTCCACCGCGGAATAATACCTGCGCAGTCTGGTAGTATTTCCCTTAATTGCAACATAGCCTTATGGTATAGATTTTTTGTCTTACCTTGGAACCTCTTTAATATAAGCAGAAGACAGTGAGACTTTATTAATTTTCAAACAACAAATTAATTTGATAACCGATTGAAACCTAACGTGCATCTGTTTTAATGAGTATTAAATTTAAAAGGTAGAGAAGTCCTACAGGGCCTATTTTAACTATATAACTGGGGGCTTCGCCACCTTTGGAATTCGTGCCAGTATTAAAAAAAATTGTTAATATTTATAAGTCATAGCTTATTACAGCTTATAATAGCGTGAAATATTTGTTCACTAAAATGTAAATATTTTATGTTGCTTAATTTTGCTTCACTGCGTTCATGTTTAAATGGGGAACGGCGTGTTAACATTCGCGCCGGCTCCCGAAGCGACGCCACAATTTTTATAAAGGGTGAAAAATGGGTGAAACAGCGATGCCGATCGTTTAATTTATTATAAAGATAGTATAACATTTACAACCAGGGCCGTCGCTAGAAGCTTAATTGGGGGGTATATATTCATATATTCATGCATGTTCATACAACCGTAGAAACATAGCAAACAAAAGAAATCAGTCGCGGGCATAAGACGAATAACATGAATCCCCCCCCAATTAAGCTTCTAGCGACAGCCCTGTTTACAATAAAACTTGACAGGAAAGTCTCTTTCAAAACTTATTTAAAAGCTCTCTCGAAACAACATAAGAAGAACATGCAACAACAAAACCAAAACAAAGCCAAGGGCACCTGCAGCTAACATGTTAGCTGCGTCGCCAGGCATTTAAATTGCAGACGAAGTTGGGCATCACTCAGACGTGATATCAAGAAGTTTGTCCGTCTGCGCTGCTACTTCAGAGCACGTCGAGCACTTAAGTAACTTGCTTTTAAGTTCATTTTTGCTAAATTATCAGCCAGAACTTGCCTGTTCCAATTGGCGAGAGTGAACGGTTTTTTTGCTTCGTTATCTTATTTTGTACAGCCTCAAATTCCAGCTGCCCTGAAGTGAGAATATGCCGTCAGCATCTTTCTATTTCGTGGAGCCCGAAACTCGGAAGCCTTCGAAAGTTCGGTTGTTTTTGGCGGCATTGTTTCTGGTGCTACTCGTTTTGTCGATCACATTTAGTTCGTTGTATGTTGTGGAGAAAAATAAGACGACCAGCGAGGGCGGTCAGTCGAAGCAGCGGCCAAACGGCACAGCAACACAGAGCACAATCAAGTCAAGCCTTACTCCGTCGACAAAGACTTGTAATACCCTCAGATGTGTCGTCAGTGCTGCAGGTGATTATAGTTTGACAAATTTTATATTCACAACTTGACTGCGCGTGCCGGAATATGAGTTATGGTTATAGGCGCGTTTTATACGCCGTATTTTACATATGCCGAGCACATTGGAAACATCAGATAATGAACCATTCTATTCATTAATCTATTGATGATCTACTTTCAATTCATTGATATATTGATTATCTATTTTCGATACGCCCTATTATTGGGTTTTAAAATTTTAACTTTTGTAGGTTTTTGGCTGCCCCCCAAAAAGGTCAGATGTATTCAAGTTAGAAATACTCATTAAAACACAGCACGCGCAGGACCTAGTTTAAACATAATTTCTGTATTTTCACTCCGATTCTCTAAATTGTGACATTGTTTTTGAGCGTTTACACTTATGTTTTCACGCCAAAACAATTACAGATACCACCAAATTTGGATAGAAGTTAAGGCTAATTAAATGAATTGAGCACTTTACCCCTTTGGATCATGTGAACGTTCACAGGGGCGTCAAAACTATTGGAGACAAAACGTTTGAATGACGTGAAACTCATTCAAGACGAGAGTCTTAACCGATGTTAATTTCGAACTTTTCCCGCTAACTTTTCCGTTTAAAGAGATGAGTAAATTAAGCGGAAATCCCGTCTACATGCATCACTTCGTAATTTCCAAGCCTCAATTTCATTACATACAGCTCCAAACTGATATGGTCTTTCAGGCATTCTGAATAATCTTGATCAATCCACCGACCCATGTGAAGATTTTTATCAATACAGTTGTGGAGGATTTGCAAGGAAGAATTATATCCCTTTTACAAAATTACAAACTGGTTCTTTTTCTGCACCAAGTGAACTCATTCTACAGACAATGAGAGATCTCTTGGAAAACAAACAATTGATGTCAAAATACTCTGCGGTAGGTCAACTATTTATATTATGTTAACAATATCGGTTCAATGAGATAACGACGGCGGGGAAGTTACTGGTATGGCCATATCCGAACACGAACTTGGACAACGCGTGCATGTGAATGATTCTTTTCTTTTTGGGATAAATTTTGAGGTGACTATTGGTTTTCCTGCATTCTGAATGTTAAAATTCACTGTCTCTGAAGTGATAGTCGGTGACTATAGCTTTTTGTTGTTGTATTTCGACTAAGAAATTTGAAGGAATTATAAATGTTTATGAAATTATGTTGATTACTATTTGTAAACACTTCAAAATTTATACTAAATCACATCGATTACAAGCCTATATATTCCCTGAGCCGAAGGCAAAGTTAATCACCTCGCCTTCAGCGACTAATTGTTAAATAGAAGAATATTACTCTGTAATGTCCAATAAAAGCATCAATGCATGGAACATGAAACGATAACACACCCAGCTCGTTGTTCGCGCAGGCCGGGTATAGATCCGATCATTAGTCTTTGTTTAAGTTTTCAGCTTAACATATCAAATGTTTTTAGTTTCCAAATTCAGCTTTCTATAAAGCATTCGTATACTACAAATCCTGCATGAACGACAGCGCCATCGAAAACGCCGGGATTCAACCCATTCTTGACGTGATTGAAAAATATGGCTCTTGGAACATAACCAACAGCGGATGGTCTGAAGATTCTTGGGTGTTGGAGAAAATACTGGCCAGAGTACTTGCCGATACAGGAGTACCAGTGTTTTTTAATGTGCGAATAATGGAATCGGTCGTCAACACCTCGGATATCTATGTTACGGTAATGAATATAATTATATAAATATAAATATATATAATATATATATATAATATATATATATATATATATATATATATATATATATATATATTAATATATATTAATATATATATATAATTATATATATATATATATGCGTGAAACTCCGAGTAGCTAAGCTAGTCTTTTAATAAATATATATATATATATATATATTATATATATAATATATATTATATATATATATAATATATATTATATATAATTATATATATATATACATCAGGAGCCAGTCCAAAAGAAAAAACTATTTAAATATATAGCTTCAATTCACCACATCGCGGTGTTCAAAAATTAAAGTTTTAATAAACTAAATCAAATCAAATACATCTTGTAATATATACTACGTTTCGGGGCGCAGCCCCTTCGTCAGAAATGTTTCCTTAGTAATCCTAAGCCTTCTTATAAAGTTAAAACAAATTTGCATACATAAATTAACCTTAAGTTTCCTCCCTCACATTTAATCCCATAGGACAATAAGTCATTAACTTTTCTATCCAAAAACTTTCCCTCTCATTAGGTTTGTTGATATCAGTAACATCAATTATTTGAACACTTATGCCCCCTAATCCCTTATGTCCTTGTTCAAAAAAATGCGCATATAAACCCTGACCACATATACCTCTCTGACCCCTACCAAAACGTAACAATGAGCTTTTATGATTATTAAATCTCAACCTAAATGCCGTAACCGTGTTCCCGACGTACTGTAGATGGCATGTCTTACAAGTTATCAAATAAATCACCCCTTCCGAATCACAATCAAAGGCATGATTTATGTGATAAACTTTACCCGTTGAAAAGCTACTAAATTTAGACCCCAAGATAATATAATTACACACTTGACAGCGCTTCTTACCACACTTAGACATGCCTCTATCCGAAGTTTCAATACTACGTAACTTAGACCTGCATGACTAGATGATCTTTAAGGTTCCTCGGTCTACGAAAACTTAACAGTGGTTTTTCAGGTAAAACCTTAAAAAAATCCGATGACATCTCAACTATACCCTGCATTTCCTGCAAGGTACCCTTTAAACAATTAAGTGCCGGATGAAAATCCAGTACCAAACAAACCCTATTGTCTTGACCCTTACACTTATCAGACACAATCTGATGATCATAATTCCTAACCCGATTAAATTGTTTCTCAATAAAACCCCGATCATAGCCTCGCTCCATCAAGAAAGCTCTTAGATCATCCAGTCTACCCTCCAAAATTTCCTCCGAACTACAAATTCGTTAAAGCCTAAGTCCCTGTCCATATGGTATCCCCCTCTTGACATGCGACGGATGACACGAACCATAATTCAAATACTGATGTGCATCAGTAGGCTTGCTAAACACATCAGTATCGAAACCATCATCGGTAAGAGTCACCGCCACATCCAAAAAGGAAATCTTTCTAAAACCTACTTCCCAGGTAAATTTGATGCTGTTATGAAATGTATTCAAACGGTGTAAGAATATATTTAAATCCTCTTCCGAGTGAAGCCAAATCATAAAAACATCATCCAAAAATCGCCACCAAGCCCAAGGTCTTAATTCACAAGAGCTG